CAACCTAACTTACCCCACCCTAACCTAACTCACCCTAACCTAACCTAACCTAATCCAACCTAACTTAACCCAACCTAACTTACCCCACCCTAACCTAACTCACCCTAACCTAACCTAACCTAATCCAACCTAACTTAACCCAACCTAACTTACCCCACCCTAACCTAACTCACCCTAACCTAACCTAACCTAATCCAACCTAACTTAACCCAACCTAACTTACCCCACCCTAACCTAACTCACCCTAACCTAACCTAACCTAATCCAACCTAACTTAACCCAACCTAACTTACCCCACCCTAACCTAACTCACCCTAACCTAACCTAACCTAATCCAACCTAACTTAACCCAACCTAACTTACCCCACCCTAACCTAACTCAACCTGACCTTACCTAACCTAACCTAACCTAAAACTCTTGCTTCGTATTTGGAATGTCGTCTCTCTCCCCGAGCGCCTACGTGGCGTGTAGCGGGACTGCTTTACTTTACCGTATGTTGAGTCATCGCCGTTTCGACTAGTTCATTTCTTGAGCAGAAATAACGAGCAGTTGAGTGGTCCTTTGGTTCTGTCCGTGTCGTTATAACACCGAACAGCAGTTGACGAGAACGTTTCAGCCTATCAGAAATGTCAGACACTTTTATGAGGTGGCCACATCTTGTCCTCATCTCCTGCCTTAAACCTCAATAAAGTTGAAATACTTTATTGATGAGATGAGTGAAATTTTCGTAAACTGGTGAGATTTCAGGTTCTCAAGGCGGAGATTATGAGACGTCGTGCTTTGTAGTTTGGTAGAAGTTTATTACCGCGGAAGGCAGCCATATTCCCCTAAACTTTTTAGGTGCGTGAAACACATTTTTGTGTGTGCCATTCTGACATGAACCCCCCCTGCCCCCTTAAAAAGCATTTCATAGGGACTATATATTAAAAAACACTTAAAAATATAACGACGTATTATAAGAATCACAGATGCAGTTTTAGGTAAATATAATATTTTAACATTTAATAAAAATTGTTTTATATGCAGATGTACATTAATAATTCAGCTACTTGTGATGATTATAAGCCATGAAAATAAATGTTTACGTCAAATCAAAATTGGATACGTAAAAATATGACGAAACACGAATTCTCACGTGTCATACAAAATTTGTAAACTGAATCAAAAATCTTATTTTAATCATTGGTTATTTTGTCTTGCTCGGTTAACTATCCATTCACTGGTACGACGTGTTTCGGTCGACTGTGACCATAATCAGGTTCATCAATGCTCTCGGGAGTGTAATTTTCTCCTCTCGACGTCAAGAAATAATCTTAAAAGAATTTTGTCAGACCTTTTTAAAATTAGTTAAAATAATTAAAAAATTAAAAATGTCAAAACTTTAAAAGTTTCTTTTTTAAAATGTTTTTGGTACATCCTGCAAGGTCCCGGCGTCATTTTTGACTTGCAAAACACAAAATTTTAAATCACTCCAAAGTGATATGTATTTTTTTTTCGTGATATTTAATAGCTGAGTCTCGCTGCAGAATGATGCCTATTTTATTAAGGGTGGGGGAGGTTAGTGCCTCGCTCTCTATTGGGGATAGGATTTTAGTTTTTCTTATAGAATCATTTTGAAAATATTTCTCGACATCGAGAGGAGACCGCGGGTCACCAGGATGCTGCACTACAGATCTTATAATTTTAATTTGTTTTATGGTTGTCTCATTCGGATAACAGCCTCTTAATTCCCCTACAGCTTGAAGAATCCTCTTGTTCTGGAGAGGAAGTTGTCTGTAGTCATAGAATTGTACAAAACGTTTGGTACATAGGAGGACCACATGAAACCAGTCGAAGGACTTATTATAATAATATTACGTTCCCTCTTTACTGTGACATAAAAATGTTACGTGCGATGTATTTTTCTGGACGAATCCAGTGAAAAATACTAGAATATATTTATAGTTGCGTAGATTTTAATGTTTGTGGTTTTTAGGTGGGTCACAGGGAGACAGTATTTTCTGAGTTACTTCTCATTTGCTTAATTTAATAGCGAATGTAACTTTAATTTTCTACTGTCATCGTCAGATATTTAAACTTTTATACATATTCAAAGGATTTACGAACTATCTTTATTTTATAATCTTAGTATATGTTTATTTTTCTGTGTTTATACTTTTATACCAACGTCTTGACTGCCATCTAACAGAGCTTCTGTTTGTTTGTTTGTGATATTCGTGGTTTTACCAAATAAATTAACGTCCCAGATCATCTGTGATAGGAAACACGAATAATGACCTTCGAAGATTACTTCAGGAAATGTACGGTATTAAAAATTATTATAATTTATATTTATTAGATTAATTACTTATAAATTAATCCTGACCGTAAGGTTCTGGATTAAGTCTAGCTTAGAAGTTAAAAAATTTCTCGATTTGGTAGGACATGAGGTGTTATAGGTCTGTTATGCCCGCATCTGTGCATAAATTCAAAATTCGTGACTTTAGATACGAGAACATTTGCCTTAATGCACTTGCATATTTGATTAAAATTCTCGCAAAATTCTCGTTTCTTATGCTTAAAATCACTTTGGACTGTGACCTCTAAATTTTAACATTTTAACGATGATGTATTCGCTGATTGCGAATGATTGGCTGTTTGATCGGAAGTCCCGGTTACTGCGTCTGCGCGTTGCGTGCAGAACTGTGGCCACTGACGTCATCGGACAATCAGCGGAAATGTCCGAGACCTGAACGTGCCTCGTTATTCAAGCGACTTAAAAACGAAAGCTTATAACAAAATTATGTCTGGTGCTTAAATGGGAATTTATGAAAGGCGCTGAAAATTGTTAACAAGATTTTATCCGATTCTGTTCTGATAACAAATTATAATAATCAAAATGTTTATCCTGCGTTCGTCTCGTATTTGATGTGGAGTCTTCAACAATTAGAAATCGCAATGTCGTGGCGCCCTCTTTCGAAAACTTCTCTCAGTAACGGTTCCTTTCCAACACTGCAACACAGAGAGTAAAGGACTTAATTTCGAGGCATTCTTTACGATCCCCTTCAACAGAGGTTTGTTTCCGGAATGAGAGGAGTTCACCATGTCCTGTACCTCACTTTCTGGTCACTACGCTCTTTCACAAGTGAGAGTTTGGTGACGACATAACCTAAAAATTTCCCTGTGAGGCTGAATCTACGCATGCGCGGTATATTTGCCATTTCAAAATTGCTAATTAATTTTAAAATAATATGGGTACGGATATCCACATGTGTCTTGACTCTTTGACAGTCTTAAATGTGTGACTTTGTGATAAGTAAAGAGTATTTCAAAAACCTTATCATACTTTTTAAATGGGAACACGATATTTTGTGTACTTCAAAGAACATATTCGAATAAATACGATGATTTGCTAACAACTCTTATAGGATTCGTGAAACGACCTTGATCGTACGTTGCGTGTTCTTATAATCGAAAGCCTCAGTTACATTTGAATCCATTTCTTCGAAGCAGAGGCAAGGTATGATTTTTTAAGCTGACACTGCTCCATGTCTGTCTACCTCGAAGATGAGAGCAGTACAGCCCTTGTTGAAGTTTAGAATTCCTGACCACTTACAGCTGCTGGTCCTGCCCACGGCAGGCACCGGGGCGCTGTCGTCGTCGGAACAGTTGGACGTGCTGGGGCGACTCGCCTTTCCGAAGTGCAACGTGTAGTCCGGGACGGGGACCGGGGGTCTCTCGAGTTCCTCCTCCATCAGCGGCGGGGGTTTCATGGGCGCGTTCCTCGGGCCGAAGTAGGACCACGGCAACTGACCGCGGAGCTCATCCGGTGGCTTCAGCCCCGAGCCCCTGAGTACAAGAGCGACTTTTACATTTGTAATGGGGGGGGGGGGGGCTCCAATGACACGTCGGATTATCGTTTATGCGTTCACAGTCTTGCCTGTTGTTTTGTATGGGTGCGAAACATGGTCTCTCACTCAGAGGGAGGAACACAGATTGCAGGTGTTTGAGAATCGGGTGTTGAGGAGGATATTTGGGCCTA